AAATCTAGAGAAAGTACAATTTTCCCACAATCAATAATGGCAAAAAACACTCCGTACTCTACGCATGCCTGTCTCCGTCTCTGTGTCCCCTGTTCTCACTGCCACACGACACGCCAGGTCCTCAGCCCCTGCTGTCACGATGTCAGGAGTCTCCCACCTGCTTGCTGGGCCGTCTTCACGGGGCTCTACGAATAAGTCTGCGTTTCTTACGGAGTGAAGACTGAATTCCATAGCACGGCGTGCGGCAGCCTCGCCCTCGGGGACACACAGATGCCCCCTGGAGGTGTAATGTTGATACTATACGAGTTTAAAGATCTCTTTTCTTATTTGTGCCCCTCTACAAAATGTGCCTAATGGTACAGTCGACCTTGTAGGATGGCGGAGGGGGTTGGCTGAGTGAGTTAATATCCAAAAAGTGCTGAGTGTCAGAACAGTGAAAGTGCTCAGAAAGATGTCGATTGCCGACGATGTTATTGTTAGGCGGCACCTCTTCTTTTCAGATTTGCTACCCTGCAGGAGCCTGTGCTCGGTCAGAAAGGACCACTGAGTCCGTAACCACCGTGATCCTGTCACGGATGCTATAAGCCTCCACACCGGGCTCCACTCGCTCTGGGCATTTCACAAAGCAGGACGTTTTTACAAGAGGTCGTGGTTACTTGCTACATGGTTGCTGAATAGATAATAAGGAAAATGTATGTTCCTGAACAAAATAGCCATTTAAGATACAACATTCCCTTAAGAACTGCTGTTTTGCCAACTGAATTTTGAGATAGTGAAATATTTTATACTCGAAGCTATATTTTAAAAACTCCTTGATAGTTTTTTTTTGTATACTTGGCTCAGTTCCAGTAAACTGCCCCTCACATCATAATCAACTGGGGTCCTACTAAAATGCACATTCCTGGGGCCACCCAGACCTGGTGCACCCAAGTCCCTGGTAACAGGGTCTGGGAATCTGCATTTTTACCCAGTGCCCCTCCCCAGATGTCTCCTAAGCACTCCAGGGTTTGTAAGCCGCTCTGATAGGTCAGTAGGCAAGGTGCGCTGTGGTTCAGAGAAACCAGTTCGCACAGATCTCATGCGTTTAGGAGACCAGGTGCAGAAAATGGCCCCTTAAACTTTTCCATAATTTGTGAAAAAGTCAGGTGGCTGGTAAGCATTTTGCAGATACTTGCAAAATTGAAACAAGGGAAAATGCAAATGTGAAAACAATGATATTTCAAGCCCGTGTGGGTGGTTTTAAAGTCTTTAAAAAGAAGAAATGATGGCCTGTACGAAACGTTTGTGGGAGAAGCTGCTTCAGCAGGTCAGGATACAGGAGCCGTATTTCCCGGACAGTTAGAGAAAGCGGTCCAAGAGCAGAAGCTGAAATACTATCAGATTTATTTTGTTCTGAAAGTCGGCGCTTGGTCAGGAGCTTGGTCGCCAGCAACAGAACTGCCTCTGGCTCTTAAGTTAAGCTGGGAATTATTTTGGAAGGCCGTTGACCTGTGGCCAGCGCAGTCACCTCTCCAGAAGACCTTGCAGCGGGAACCAAAGCAAAGTGTGGGTTTTCCAGCTGCCGCTGTGATGAACGCATCTTCTGGGTGACACATTCTCACTCAGGGGGCCAAAGTCCTGGATAGAAAGCCTGAGCCTGCCGTCATCTCGCTGTGGCGGGAGGGGGTGGCAACCTCATGATGGGAATTCTATGCAAGGGGTACGGGGCCCCAATAGAAAGGAGACAGATGCTAGACAGCCCCGTCCCCCCACCAAAAAAAAAAGAAGGAGGAGGAAAGAAAAGGAAACTGCCCACCTCAAGTGCTTGCTAAGGCCTCAGAGTTAGATGGCCCATGTTCGAATCCTGCATCTGCCACTTACCAGCTGGTTGGTCTTTCCCGTGCCTCAGTTTACCTATCTCTAAAATGGGGGTGAAAACAGTCCAATCTGCTAGGGCGGTTGTGAGAATTAAACACGTGGAGAGTCTGGCCCGTGGCAAGTGCCGTGTTTGCCGTTGTGCGAGTCCGTCGGCGTCTGTAGAGGAGGCAGCGCGGAGCTGGCAGGCAGGGCTTCCGCGTGCGGTTCTTGCTCACGGGTCCTCCGACGGGCTTCTCGTTCTGCCGGGGTTCGCCCGTTCATCTCACGGCCGAGCCTGTCGGCATTTGTGTGCCCTCTGACTTTCAGTGGGGGTATTAAGCAAGATTAACTTGTTCCCTTAAATACCTCTTCCCTCTCTTCTCGTCCCGGCTTTTAACTGACATGAAGAGGTTGTTCCGATTCTATTACTGAGCACGTGGAAACCATTCACCTTCCTCGTAGGGGCATGGCCCCTGTGTCCCTCTTGCCTCTGGTACCCGCAAGGCATCTTTCCTCTCAAGTCACCCCTGCCTGCTCTGTCCTCGTCGATTTGCCGGGAGTGAGGTAATGACGCAACTTTAGGGGCTGATAGGATTGTGTTCTAGGAGGACACTCGAAGCCATCAGCCGTCTCCTTTTCTCATCCCCGTGTTCTGGATAGGACAGGTCACCCACTTGGTCACAGTGCCCATGCCATTGGTTAGAGGGAGCTGTGATACGGTCTCTGCAGTCAGAGGGACAGGTAGAACTTTGTGATCTGCCGGTCCGAGGACAGTGTCCGCAGGAGACAGCAAACTACGCAACTATTTTAAGGTTCCAGAGGGGATTCTCACAAATTTATATGCTTGCAAATTGAGTTTGTGAGCGTGGAAAGTCTTTATTCTCTCCACAATGAGATGATTCATGGCCGTGTAGTTTTGTTTTCGTGTATGGTAACCTGCCCCTCATTAATTCAGAGCTCTGTAGCAGCTCCATATCTACGGCGGAGAGCCTCCCTTGCTTCTCTGGGTGTCTTTCGTTGTGTTGTTATTGTGGTGATCGTGGAGGTTGTGGCTGTAAAATTAGTAACTCATTCACAAATGCCAAAAACCCATGCAAGTATCTTTGGTCGGATCCTCCCTCCCTCCCCTGTGCCCCCGGCCCCTCATTCCTTTCCCAGCAGACGCCCACTGTGTCAGTATGCGGCACTTCCTTCCAGATCTATTTTATGCACATACGAATATATGTTATTTCCCCCTTTGCAAACAGATGGTAGTGTACTATATATGCACCACGCTCCGTGCCTGCCTTTCTTACTCCGCAATACATCTTAGAGATCTTTACATGTAAGTCTATAAAGAGATGTCTCATTCTTTTTTATAGCTGCAGAATATTCCATCATGTGGGTGCACCCAAATTTACTTAAGCACTTTCCCATAGATGGAGATTTAGGCTTCCTGATGATTTTCGAGGTGAAGGTTCTGGATAAAAATCAACGAATAGAATCTATACTGAGTGGATGCAGCTCAGCATTGTCTTATGTTGTTATAAGGGATTTTTCTAAAACATGTTAAAGAATATTGCAGTGGTCTTCAGCGGAACATCCAGCTTTGCATATGTACTCTTGGCAATCCCAGAATAATCAAGGAGGCGCATTGTACGTACTTGTAATGGATTATTTTATAAGGTACTGGGTCTGGAAACAAATGAGTTTGTTTTAAAAGCTTATTCTCCTAGTCCAGCCAGATGTGTCTCATTTTCATAAGGTTGATAAAAAGAAATGAAGAACTGGTACCCATCATTCACAATGGAATTTGAACAGTTTTGGGATCAGGAAAACTTTCCTGCGTGATAAATAACTCATTTTTCCATCAGTTCTCATTGAGTAGATGCCTTAGTGGGCTAGATTTGGGATGAGAGAAGGCAGGACTGTAGCTTTCTTGAGGGAAAGGAGGCTGACACATCTGAGCTCGTAAATATTGTTTAATTGAATAGGAAACAGGACCAAAGAATTGTAAAGTATGGTAAAGACAGCCTTGGCTATATATTAATGTATACATTGTGCAGAAGTGTATATATTAAAGCCTTAATACGATGTGATGTTTGAACTAGCAGAACATTAGAAGATGAAAGTCATAATTTAGGAAGGAATAAGCTATAAAATTCACTTTACACTTCCTTTTGAAGTACTGCTTTTAATGACCTTGCAGATCTTATTTGTAGCTAAACATAAATCTTAAAATACAAAGTAGTAGATGATTTTAACCTGTTAGCAAAATTATTGAGTTGCTAAGAAACAAATACTGTTTTTGTGGGCCTGAGGAGGAAACAGTGACCTTGTGTGATGGGAAACAGCCCAGTGGTCCTCTTCGTTGGACCCTTTGGAGAATTACGTGACCTTCAGGACAGGGAGAGTTACTTCTATGTCTGAAGATACTGGCAGAGTTTTTTTTGTCTGTTTTGAGTATAATTTTTCTTATTTTTCTGATGATTCCTTTAGCACTTAGGTTAAATATCTGTCGAGTCACATAACATTAGACAGAAACAGTGTCTGTTCATTCGGTGTTGCACTCTAGCCCAAGTGAGAGTGAGACTCTGTCTCAAAAAAGAAAAAAAGTGACTCTAGTCAAACTGATAAGTCAACAAGTTCCCTAGAGAGATTGCTCTGTCTTTGTGCACCGTCATAATCACTGTTTTTGAGTTTCACTGGTTCTGGTCAGCTGTGATGTTTGACTTTCTTCAGTTACAGGTTGATCTTTGGTGTAGGGCGAAGCACGTCCTGGTGGCTTAGGTGTGGGCCCTGTGGCCATACCCCAAGCTGCACCACGTTCCCTTGGTCTCAAAGCGATTCCTAGGAAAAGGGGATGTAGTTCCCTCTTGCAGCATCTCTGGCTCAGATGCCTGTCTGGTCCAGATTCCTCCTTCTGCTCCATGTTGAGGGGGAAGTGCTTTGCCCAAACCCCGACCTTATTTGAACCACTTGTGTTCTTGCCGTTTACATTGTGAGCATTTGTACCTGTCGTGAGACTAAAGACTCCGTTAAAACTGTACCTTCCGCACTGCCATTGTCTCTTTTGTTTTTGTTTTTTTAATATTCAGAGGAATGTTTTTCTCAATCCTAGGGATGCTCTAGTTTTTTTTCCTTCTGTTTCTTTGTCGGTGAAATCTGTATCTCTCGTCTCTCAGGGCTGCAGACTCCCGGTCCAGAGGTCATTGTCGACGTCGAGTCCATGGACATCTTCCCCGTGGGCTGGTGCGAAGCAAATTCTTACCCCTTGACGACGCCGCACAAAACAGCCTGTGAGTGAGGCCTGGGCGAAGGGGCCGGGGGGTGACGTCTGTGACTAGCTGAATAAATAGGCAGTTTTGGAAAGAAATGGTAGCCAAATTGTAAAAAACAAAAGTGGTTTTAGATTTTCCACTGAGCACTAATGTTTTCATCTCAGTGGTCCTTTAAGTGAATGCACAAGGTGAACGTTTGGAAGCATTTCACAGGTCGACAAACAACGTCGCAATTGAGAGAAAAAAACACCTGCAATCACAAGGAGTGCAATGCGCACTACCCGAAGGATGGACATATTTGAAACACGGACTTCGGTGGGGGGGGAACAAGGGCAACACACGTAACCTAAACGTATGTACACCCATAATTTGCTGAAATAAAAAAAAAAAAAATACTCATAAGGAATTGACTATACGAAAAAATCATGTAATCCCTACCTGCAAAAAATACCATGGATTAAAGGATCCTTAATCATTCTCGGCCATGGTCTATGAACTTGGCCATAACAATAGAGAAGAAATTATTTAGTAATAAAAATATAGTCATTTTCAAAAAAAAAAAAAAAAAAAACACCTGCAATCTTGACTGCCAGTGTTGTGCACAGTCCATTGTTTTGATGGGAAAAATGTGTTAGATACTGTATTCTCATATTACCATTTCTTGGAAAGAACTAGTTTTTCTCATGAAGTTTTCCTAAAGAAATTATAATTGATCCCAGTGATTTACTGACATATTTATAAACACTTAACCTCCTCTTGGCAGTAATTAGTGAGATTTCAACCGTACTTTAAAAAGTATATTGCCTCACGTCCTTTAGATCACAGAAATACCACGTAAAACCAATATTAGTAGTTAAACAGTTCAGCAACTCGCACGCATGCACACACACACACACACACACACACGCACATTTAAATACATACAAGGGTATGTTTTAACATATGTTATTGCAGGTCATTATCATGAAATGGTATCATTTAAAAATCTTCAAGCCTAATACATCTTTGTGTTTATTATTCCACTCTAATGTGTATCAAAAGTATTATTTAAAATTCCGAGTACTTAAAGAGATTACATTTCTGTTGTTTTCTTTTTGGAATTTATATGCTAGCTTTGCTTCTTTCTAGCAACCTGTTCTATGGTATACTTCTGTAGATTCTCAGAACATTTCCTTAGACAAAGTTCCATCTCAAGGTTGGCTTTAAGTTCCCTGGTGGCCACAGGCTATCAAGGGTCCCCCACTCAGTATTCATTAAGAACAAGGGACATTCTCTGTGCAAAGCAAAGTGTGTAGTTCAGATTACAGACAGAGGTCAGAGGTGGATTTTACAGGATTCTTCTTTCCCTATACCATCCTGTTGAATAAGTCTGATCCAATTTGAGTAATATCTTCCCCTCACTTTAAAATATTTAGTATTTCTAGAACTTTGAGCATAGAATAGTTATTTGAATCTCAGAGGCATTCCTTTTTCCCCTGATGTAAAACAAAGCCAGTTCTTGTCTCACTCAGCCAGCATGGCCAACACTCGGGCTCTCCCTGGGTGTGTCACGGGGCTGGGGCTTCATCTCTGTTGTCCATGCCGTCCCTCAGATAGAACCTGGTGTCCTGGGGCCTCTACCTCCCTCTTTCATTCGGATCGGGAGAATACAAGTGCTTGGAGTTTTTCTGGGGCACAGTCACACGTGGGTTAAGGTGAACGCAGTAATGTTTCCTCTTTATTTTACACTTTGCATCCTGACTCCTTCCCCAGAATATCTGACAGTCAGGTGTCCCCACTCGATTAACAGAGACCGAGTGACACAAGTTATTCTATAGACTCATTTTTCACTTTGGAGATCATGAAGTTTATTCCTTTTCACAGTAATAACTGGAATCAAGTACCAAATAAAGTTCATAGTGGGTGGAATTTTATTAAGTGTTTTTTCTCATTTGTTTTTGCTTGTATTTCTTACACATGCATTTTGCTTTAAAGAGGCAAACTCCCACTCTAAATCTGCCAGACTCTAACAGCTTTTAGAAGTTTTGTTGGGATTAATTTATGCTTATGTTGGAAGATACAGGGTTATCTGAGCATGCCAGATAAGTACACGCCAAAAGCTCTGATCTATTTTTGTTAAAGCAATCCTAATCAGTTATAAATATAAACTGGAAGTATTCGTATCCAAAAAAAATCATTATTTGCTGGTTCATGTCAGTATTTGACTAGGTGTATTTGCTAGCCACCAATTCTCATTTCGATAAAAAAAAAGTTTTAGTCTAAATGCATGCCTCCCATCCTACTTTGAGAGGGCGCTGTTATGGTAACATTATCTGCCTCATCACAATCTCTATGGGGAAAAAAAAATCATTCTCGATTATCATGCTTGCAATAATGTATCTTGAACACATGTGTTTACAGGAGGTATAATAGGTGTACTCTTTATCTTTCTTATTAAATGCACATTTTAAAATAAAGTAGCCAGTATGGTGATAAGATTAAATATACTAAGTTCTAGTAAGATCTCACATCTGAGGAGCCAATGTCTGTTTTATGCTAGAAGAAATTGATTTAAAATTGTGGCATGAGTGAAATAGCTCTGCAGTATTTAAATTGTTCCTTTAACACAGGCACCTTTTTTTATGCTATAACCCATTTTTAAAAATGCATTTGCTCCGCTCACAAAGCTGATTTTCTTTTTTCCTTTTTTGCTTGTTTTACAGCACAAAAGAAGAGGAAGATTGCAGTTGTGCAACCAGAAAAACAGTGCGTGTTTTTTTTTTTTTTATTCTCCCCAAACTGCATGGTAAACAGTAGAGTGTCTTTACAGAGGATAGGAAGCATGGCTGTTTTTATTAGAGTTAGCTAACAAACGGCACACTAGTGAAGATGATAGTAAAACATAGCTGCTGTTGTTTGTTGTGTACCTATTACGCTCAAGACACAGTGCTTGCTTAAAAGGAATTTGCAGTCCAAACTGTCACTTCTCGGTGTACCTGATAAACCCCCCAAACTCACACGTGGCCAGTAATGGCTCTCTGTGCTTGGAGATTCTTAGCGCCCCCCGGCAACCTAGTGTGACAGGTGCAGTTGAGACATGCGGCCGCCTCTTCCCCACCGGGAACATTGTCTCTCTCCCTCTCGACTCTTGGCTGGTCCTGGGTGGTGGAAAACTTGACTCCAGCTCTGCCGCTTCCCAGCTGGGTGAACTTGAGCAAGTTGCTTGAGTTCTCTGCATCTCAGTGCCCTCACTGGTAAAATACTCATTTCAGGGTTTTTATGAAGATTAAATTAGATTCCATGTGAAAAAAATATTGTGAGCCTCAAATTGCTGAACAAATATAGGTTACACTGCCACCCCCAGCCCTGTTTCGGTTGTAATTTTATGAGCAAAGAGTGTCAGGGCAGAGTGTGTGCAGGCAGGCAGTATGTTTTGGAAAAGTAGTAACTGCTGGTAACATTTGTATGTATTGAAAAATATTTAAAATGCACTAAAATGTATATTCCATGCCAAGTGATTCTGCTTGCTCAAGTAAATAAAAATATACGGATGGAAAGAGAGCTGAAAACG